TAACGTGTCATGTAGCAGARACAAAACTGAGCACAACACCTACTGCCTTCCACACCGGATCATCTACTGTTGAAGAATGATGGATTCATTGACTGATAACGGTTTCACTGTAGGATTGGGCAATATTAGCAAAAAAGGTCATCACAACTATGACAATTAGCCAATAATTAACAGATGACACAACTGCACTTTTTTTACTCTAAATCAGGGGTCCTWCCTCTGAGGAAGACCAACAAACCAGTCAGGAATCTTTTCATTTCTTGCTTTCACTTTCTTTATTATTTTATTTTTCAACTTTTCAACACCACCTTCACATTTCACAGTTTGCTTTCACTGCTCCATCCACAGCTAATGCCAACTTCTTTAATGTTGCTTACAGGCTGTGTCTCAATACAGGGGTTGCAGCCAACATATTCTGTAAGCCTACGTAGGGTGTCCCAATTTGTGCGYGCCTACTCATATGGCCAACAAAATCCCAAAAACTTGGGCTGCATCAGAATATCTTAACTAATCCKACTATATCCCAGGAYTCATTGCACCRTCGGCAAACCAAACAAAAAAACAAAGACTGCAGAGGTTTTTCTTTTATTTTTTTTATGGCGCAGTTTGGAAATTTGAACAGCTCTGCCACTAAAGACCTATTTTTTCTCAACAAATAATAAATCAAAGAGTTGTGAGTCTTCTGTTACTTAGGAAAGTTAAAGCAACCCAAATTTGCTGTGAGGGAAACCTCTCCAAAATGTGTTGRTTTAAAACCAGCTAAAAGACTGAGCTGTTTGTTATTTTAGAACAGGGGTGTTGAACCTGATGTTCGAGGGCCCCTATCCTGACTCAAAGACTGGATCAACTCTTCATGTTCTGCAGAAGCCTGGTAATCACTCATCTGATCACAGGAGGTGTGATGGAGCAGAAAAACCTCAGAAATGTGCAGGATAGTGGACCAGGACTGCACAGCTCTGGTTTAGAATGATGAAGAAGACTGAAAGTACTGTCTAAACAAGCTTAGAGGCTTCAGGAACTCAACACCTGATATTGTGATCAACAGGTAATCTTAATCTGCTTCACATCACAGGATTATTTCACAGAAAAATTTAAAACAGAAGATAAAGCTTAAGGTTCAACAAGACTGATGAGATCATCTCTAAAACCCAAGAATACAGACCTAAAATAGACAACTCCCAAAACACAAAGATGGAGGAGAATAAAACAACTCATCAWCATCATCAAATGACTTCAAGATGGCCACCACAGACAACTTATCCTACAAAATCTCAAATTTACAGAGGTAATCTCGTATTATCCACATAGCACCATTTACAACCTTAACTTTTGGGTTGACTCAAAAAGTAAATCTGATAAAAAGAAACTAAAATTACTTTCTGAGGCTTTTTTAAAAATCAGTCCAGTGGTTCATGAGATGTTTTGCTAATAGACACAGTTGACACCAGTAAATAATGGCAAAGTTTTAAAAGCAAAACTTAAACTTGATCAGTTAGTGCTCAGAGTATGTGTTGGGACTGACTCTYGGCCACTACCACACCAACTTTTAACTCTGTATCTGTAAAACTGCCTAAATCAAAACCATTTAAGGTTGCTTATTGAACGAACAGATGAACTGTGAATCCCAGGGTATCTGCAGGTTTTAGCAAGTCCAATTTAAGACTTTTGAAGACCTTTTTAATAYCACTTGAATGAAATTTAAGACCAAACATATAAGTGATGTGTCACTCAATAAAACACACTGAATATAAAGATATTCAGCTCTCTGGTTAAATTGGCTGTATTTTACAAGTGCAGAATTTGGTTGGAAGCAACAAACATAAAATACATCTACTAAATACATTCATGGCATGAAACTTAATTGTGTTTTAACCTCCAGTTTTGCTTTTATACAAAAATAAGTCATCCAGCCAACTGTCAATAAACAGCAAGCACTTTAACCTGCAGCATCACAATCCAACAAATGTCTGAAGGAAGAGAGGTTTTAAAGGAGACCAATTATGGGTCCTAGAAATTTTTATGGTATGTCTGTGGGCTATCCAGACCATGTT